CTTTGCTCGTGAAAATTTCCAATTTCGCGGGTAACATGGTCGGGTCGGGCTAGTTAGTGGTTCTGGTTCCCACCTGCAAAAAATAAACTAGTTATGGAGGCAACTGAACTGATTATAAAAAGATTTTCCGTTAACACTACTTTTCCTCTCTAATTCAAAAATTTCCCACTGTATCCACTCCCACTCAATTGTAACAAAATTGACGAAGAAGAAAGGTATTTCCAAATCATACATAGCCCATCACTAAACTAAAGTATCATGTGCTCATAGAGAGTAATACACACCCTTAATCATCTAAAAAATAATTGCAACTTTACTTGGCAAGTTTTCGCCAACTTAATCTCTATGTTAATCACAGGAAAATAATACATACGACGAAATTAACCATGATATAATTAATCTCGATATATCTCAAATGCATAAATCAATATGAATTCTAAGAGACCAAAACTTAATTATTAAGCACATACTTAAACCTCACATCTCCGGTCAACCTTATTTCCTATGCCAGGATATAATTCCAAAAGATTTCAAGACCCCCAGCCAAAGAACCAAAGCGTGAAACTGTTCAGAAAATCGACTTTCAGTACCCAAAAAAAGTACCTAATGGAAGAATATGGTCAGTGGATAATGGCCAGAATCACTGCTCAATAGTAGACTCTTTTTTTCTACATTACTATTGACCAGTCTAGCTTTACATCCAGCCACATTCACATTAGGGTTCAAATTAATGATAATGAAGATAAAGCTTGAAAATTGGCCAACCTGTATCTTAGACTAATTATTCAAGAACTGTTTGGTATAGCCTTGCTTTTCAAATTAACTTCAGTTTAAAAGTATTTATAAAAATTGCACAAAATTTATACATAGTTCTCTTTGAAGCGATCAGATGAGTCAAACTGGTTCTCCGCAGATGTGAAAGGCCAAACCATAAGCTGGGAGGGTTCTCCTCCATCCATATCGGATCAGGATTCTTGGTCCCAAGTCGTCGCCTTATCTCTCTACAAAGCTTGGCTTGGTTTTGGTTGCGTTCTCTGCAGGCATTTCCCAAGTAACAAAAGTGATCGATCTCATGCTTGCACATAAAACCAAAGCAGTACTACTGAACTGGTATAAATGTTACTCCATCCACTTGGCCCACTCACTTCAAAGAAAGAATAACTCCTTCAATTGGTCAAAATGTTACTCCATCCATCCATACAAAAATCAAATTGCTACCCCTCAAGTTGAAGCCCCAGCCCACCACCACCTTTCACTTGTCCACAAATTTCAAGGGAGGGAAATCGAGAGAACAAAAATAGTAAAAAAGAAGGGCAGAAAATCTGGAAAAAAGAAGTCATCCCTAAAAAGGGAGAGATTGAATTGCAGATGCAGGGACAATTTCATTAAAAGTGATTGCAATTAGTAGCACTACTTGCGAGCGAAGCAAGGTTTCTCATCTCTGGTCCTCCCCCAACCAACCTTAAAAGCACGATAAGACCACAACCGATCGATGGTGTTCGTCATATTGTATACATGATCGGCCGTACGGATTAAATCATGTATCAGAGACAAAAATAAATTTTGATTTAGTCATAATATCATAACAATTCTATTATTGTAGAACATCATCATCAGTAATCGCGGTGTTTAAGGTGTTGGCCTCGTTCGATTTTAACCTAAGATCGAATTAGTCAACCATGAACCCCAAAAGGTTGACCCTTGACCGAGGTTGAAGTACTACGTATAATTACAATCATTATCCTTGGCAATCAACTGGTTACAGCTTTCTTTTTAAATATATGCATGATAATGAATTGGTAACAGCTGAGGAAGGGAAGAGTGCGTAATGTTGAAAAAAGGAAGGGAGGAAATTTAGTAAAGAGAGCATCAATTGCGGGGAGATAATTGCGTCGTCTCGTTTCCCCTTCTTTCCCTTTTCATGTGTCTGTCTGTCCTTCTTTTCTTTCTTTTGTTCGCATTTACTTTCCTTCCACTCAGCCGCTTCTCCATAAATACCCTTCTTCCAATCCTTCCCCTCCACCTCAAACCAAAACCAAAACCAAAACCCTCCCAACTTCCTCGTCTTAACCATACAATAGCCGAAGCAGAGCACAGCAGCAGCTTCTAAAGAGTAGTGGGCGAAAACAAAAAGCCAGAGGACCATGAGAATGAGGCCTGCTGTTGCTGCTCTTTCCGCTCTGTTTTCCACTCTGCTATTCCTTCTAATCAATGTGGACGCCAGAGTCCCAGGAAACTACGGCGGCGGCGCCTGGGAGTCCGCCCACGCCACTTTCTACGGCGGCTCTGACGCCTCCGGCACCATGGGTACTTAACCAGAAAACATTCCCTCCCCTGTTTTTCAAATGCTCTGTTTTTTTTCTTTCTAATGCTCTGTTTTTTCCCCAACTAACCCACATTGGCTTTTTTTTTTGGCAGGCGGCGCGTGCGGGTACGGAAACCTGTACAGCCAAGGGTACGGGGTGAACACGGCGGCGCTGAGCACGGCGCTGTTCAACAACGGGCTGAGCTGCGGGGCCTGCTTCGAGCTCAAGTGCGCCAACGACCCGCGGTGGTGCCACCCGGGGAGCCCTTCCATCTTCATCACGGCGACCAACTTCTGCCCTCCCAATTTCGCCCAGGCCAGCGACAACGGCGGGTGGTGTAACCCTCCCCGCCCTCATTTCGACCTCGCCATGCCTATGTTCCTCAAGATGGCCGAGTACCGCGCCGGCATCGTCCCCGTCTCTTACCGTCGGTGAGTCCACATTACTCTATCCCTCAACACATTTATTCATCTCAATCGAATCAAAGCTGTCCCCCTTTCACACTAGAAAAATTGTGGATCCCCAATCCCCTTAGAATGTGGAATCAAAAAGTATTTAGGAGATTGTGATTGGCCTATCTCTGAGTGTGGTACAATTTTCTGACAATATCAGCAGGTTGACTTTGTGGTTTCCGTTTGTTTGTTTACTGGTCCTACAAATAACCAAATCTGCTATTCTTTAGTACCTGAAAAAAATCTGCCTACGAAACAAAAAATCCAAAGCACGACTTCATTTCAATTACGGATTTCAGGTACAAGTACTATCGTAGTATGGTTTTCGGTTAAGATTTGGCAAGTTTAGATCTTACCATGAAACTAGATCGATACAAAGATTGTGATAGCACTATAGTATTAGTGAGTGTAGTAGCCTTCTGATTTAGCAACATTCAACTAGTTGTTACAAAGTGGTTACGGAGATTTGTGAACTAAAAAAAGGGGGCAAAATTTGTTGTTACAGGATTCCTTGCAGGAAGCAAGGAGGGATAAGGTTCACGATCAACGGGTTCAAGTACTTCAACCTGGTGCTGGTGACCAACGTGGCCGGAGCTGGGGACATAGTGAAGGTGTCGGTGAAAGGCTCGAAGACGGGCTGGATGGGAATGAGCAGGAATTGGGGACAGAACTGGCAGTCCAACGCGGTTTTGGCCGGCCAGGCGCTGTCCTTCCGTGTCACCGGCAGCGACCGCCGCACCTCCACTTCGTGGAACATCGTGCCTTCGAACTGGCAGTTTGGGCAGACTTTCTCCGGCAAGAACTTCAGGGTCTGATGATCAATGACCACTAATGTTGTTTCTTCCTTCTCTTTGTCTTCTCTTTGGGATCCCTTTTTCTCCTTTGTTTACGGCTTTGTTTGTGTCGGGATTGGTAGGTATTGCTTTCTTGTTTTGGGGGGAAGTGTTGACTTTTAATTTTTAGGGGGTGTGTTTGAAAGTTTTTGTTTTTTAGTATGGGTAAAGGGGTGAAAGTAAAAGTATGGGTGGAAGGGGAAAAGGTGATAAAGTGGGTTGGGGAATTGTATTAGTATTGCTGAAGTGGCTGGCTTCACATTAACAAAGCTGAATGGATGTAGCCCGCAGCTTTTATACTAGATCATATTTATACAAAGTTAATGTTTCATGTCACAACTTGTGACAAAAAAATGTTGCTCGATTGTTACATGCATATTTTACTTATAGCAATCTCAACTATTACTTAGAGAGTTCTACCAAACATTCATTACCGCAATCTCGTCATTTTTTTAGAATCACAATCTCATCTATTACTCATATAACAAAATACTTTTCGATTACGTCAACATGATAGAGCCAATTTGTGGTTTTGTAAGAATGTCCTTATATTGTTAGATTCACGAATTGTTGTATGCACATTTCATATTCCTGTGAATAACAGACGATCTAACCGTGTAACTTAGCAATTCACTACAAAATTGGTGTAAATATTGATGCTTGTAATTTCGGTTCGCGGAAGAATGGGCGCATAAATCAGTTTATCGAGTCATTAGAGATCGTTTATGGGAGGTAGAAGTGACAAATTTTTTGGATTTGATGATTGGATATAAATCTCAATTAAACATTAGATCAATATAATTTTTTTAAAAGTTTAGATACTAAAATATCATTATAATTTTAGTTACCAAAACATAATTTTTTAATAATACGATTTCATCTAAAAATGAGGATTTCAATAGATTGCATGCGAGGATTTTAATAGATGACATGCATTCGTTGTTATGGATGACCTCATGATCTTGGATTGAATAGATTGGATTAATTGAGTTTTTAGTGAATTTATTAGATTAAACCTCGTTCCTCGGCTGGGAGACGACATGGATGGTTTGGCGTTTTACCATTGTATCTTGTGATTTAACCGAGTGTATTGAAATGTTGTCGTGCCCTTTATGAAATGTCAGGCAAAAAATGCAGATGCTCAATAACTGTTTTATCACCAAACAATTTGGGTATATAAAACCTGCTATCAAGGACCTGTATACGAAGTTCCGAACCACCTATGAAACCAATCAATGAGATCGCAAAAATATAGTCAACATAATAAAGTTCCCACTAGTACCTTCAAATGTAACAAATCGAACACATTGCATCTCTTGATTCATAGTAAAACCCATCCTCTGTCCAGTTTTCCGTCAAGGGTATTGAATCAGCAAAGCCAAATACAGATCATTGGAACTGAAATTGTACCCAAGTATGTCAGAATCTACTGGCGATCTATTCGTACCACCAAGGACTTCACCTTACACGATCCATCCATCAAGTATATTGCCCTTACAACACTAAACAAACACTGTCAAAGAGACACTAGTATCAAGTCACTTATCAGGGACCTGGGGCGCTGACATTATGCATTTCAACATATGCGAGCAACTTACAAAAACATGTCTTTCCCTCTCTCTTCTCTTTCCTCTTTCTCTCCCCCTCGACTATCTGGATCTACATACCTTCTTCCTGATCCAATCCTTCAAGCTCATCAAACCAGAGCCTCTACAGCTGCCATCTATGGAGCAATCAATTTCTCTTGTCAACCGCTTTTCCCTAGTGTGTCAATTAAGAAAAAGTCAGAGATTAGCAGGGGAGGGACGGAGAAGAAGCAGAGCATTGAAGAGGGGCTCACCCAGTCTTTATCAAGGACCAATGAAAGGAAGATTTGCACAGAAGGGCAAATCAGTGGATCAACCAATCCGCCGCCAAAACCACCTGAACGGAGGTCAATCAAAGGCCAGAGGAGTAAATATGGAAATGGCAGAGAAGATTTGGGTATCCAGGGAAGGCAAAAAGCAGAAGCAAATATTTATGGCTACCAACAGACTTCGCCTATATGGAGGAGGACAACAAAAAGAATTTATGGCAGCAGAGCACCTGAGACAGGGGGAACGAGAGAATACTCTCCAGTAATGATTAGAACTGAAGCCGGAGCAGTCATGGCACTGGAGCAAGCAAAAGAACAGAGAGTGGGTATTTATTGCGCTGGGCTCAGTCACAGGTCTCGATACACATACAAGGAGTGGAAGCTTCGAACACTTGCCGTGGGGGGAAATAGCCCGGCGGATAGCTATAACCATAAATGGAGTTTACAGGGAGTAACGGTGGGGAAGAGAGGCAGAGAGGGACAGGTGAACAAGCAACCAATGCAGGGAGCATTAACTATTTATCAGGCAACACTCCAGTTCGCCCCAGGTACCCAATTTGGCTATTTAAGGAGCGCATCAGAGAAGCCAATCTCCTCACCAAACATCCCAAAAACAGAAGCAGTGCTCAGACAACCTGAAATAGCAAAAACGCCTTCCCCACCTCTTTCTGGAAATAGTACCAACCACAGAGACAGAGGAAAGATGGAAAATCTATCACAAAGTCTGAGAGGAGAGAAAAGCCACCTGATCCTAAATGTGAGACCGACCATTGTGGGTGCGAGAGGTAGTGGTATGTCAATGTTACTGGGGAAATGGATAACTGATGCTAGTATCAGCCTTCCAAAAGCCAGGAATGCTGCCACCAACAAATGGAGGGCTTATGGGGAGGTTCAAGTCACTAAGGAACAGGAAAACCTGTTCGTCTACTCTTTCCAGTCAGCAAATCAGAGGGACGCGGTGTATGAAGCAAGGCCTTGGAACCTAAGCAACACCTTGGTTGCCCTAAAGAAATGGGATGGAGAGCAAAAGGCCGAGGCAGCTGACATCACCACAGTCACAACTTGGGTTCAAATGCATGATCTTCCACAATCCCTGAAGGACGAGGAAGCAGCCCAGGCAGTCGCAGCTTTCATCTTCCCCCAGTTCCACTGTATTGATCGATCGAACTTTGACTTCAGAGGTTGGTTGAAGTTCGTCAGAGCGAAGGTGGAGGTGAGCATTGACGAACCCATCCCGATCGGCTTCGAATATCCAGTGGGGGACAGCGCAGTATGGGTCAGTTTCAAATATGAGAGAATAATGGATTTGTGTTATTTCTGCGGGAGACTCGGCCATCTCATCCACAATTGCATGGCTAGGGAGGACCACCGTAGGAGAGGGCTCAGTACCGATCCGTCGGAGGTGTACAATGATGCACTGCGAGCCGGGCATGACTCTCCGGCCAACACCCCGCCGGCATCTTTCAGGGAGAAGATGGCAAGGACTAAGAGGCTGACAAGTCAGAGCACAGGCAGACAGCAGATTCGCGGTTCCCGAGGGGAATCTTCTCAAGTCACTCTCACAGGCCTACCTATACAGGGCCCTTTCCCTTACCCACCGGGCTACGCCATCCTGCCAAGCACTGGGATATCAACTGACTGGGTTTACAGAGGAGATGGAGTCAACCCGACAAACACCCTGCAATCTGCTGTTCTGGAGCTGGACATGGAGGCGACGACCAGAGCGATGCAGAGGAGTCTGGATCTTGGGGGAAGAGATAGGGATCATGACAAGATGGCGGGCCTCTTCGAGATGGGCCAATCGCTTTCTCTGGCGAGCCCGTCTTTCATTCCTACGGAGGCCTCGCCTAGCCCATCAGCAATGGATCAACTGAGTCAGGTGACCAACAATCAGGCCCAATTCCAAAGCCCAGTTCCAGCGGCTCTTATGCCAAATAGTGAGGAAGCTGTGACCAGGCCCGAGAAGAAACGGAAGCCCGAAGATCGCACCACCAAGCCCACCCCAACTGAGCAACAGGCTATTCCCACTAACTTGTCTTTTGAATCTCTGTCTTTTGTACCAGGGGAAAATCGTCGCATTTACCAGAGAAGGAAGCATGGCATCAGAAAGAAGAGTCTGGCCGATATCACGGCGGAAGGGTGCCAGTCGGGCGAAGGGGAGTCAGTCACTCCGACGGCAGCGACGGCAAACCATAGGCCGCCTCTTCAAGAATGAGGATCCTGAGTTGGAATTGTAGGGGGTTCGGCCAGCCCCTTACAAGGAGCTACTGCGGCAGACTCTGTCGCCAATTCGGCCCGTCCGTGCTGTTTTTAATGGAAACCAGGAAAGAAGACTCCTTTATGGAGGAGAAGAAAAGACAAATGAAGTTTTCCCATTCTGATTATGTTAGCCCTGGAACGGAAGGAAGTGGGTTAGCGCTTTGGTGGAAGGAGGATGTTGATGTAGTTGTAGTTGTGTTGGATTCCTGTAAGTCCTTTATGGACACTAGCATCAGTAGGAACGGAGTCAAGTTTTTTTGCACTTTCATCCATGCCCCTACCACGGCGGTAGAGAGGAACGCTCTGTGGGATCGACTTACGAACCTTAGAGCGAATCAGGATGAAAGTTGGCTTGTTGTTGGTGATTTGAATGTAGCCCTCTCCCCTTGTGAAAAACAGGGACGCTGTCCCCATAGGAATGAGAACGTCAACCCTTTCAAGTATTTTATTGCAAGGAATGCTTTAATGGACCTCGGTTTCTCGGGGCAAATTTACACTTGGAGCAACAAACAGCAAGGTCAGAATCTCATCAGGGAAAGGCTCGACAGAGCCTTATGCTCAGTGGCATGGAGAACAGATTTTGAGGCGGCCACTGTTTTTCACGAGGACTTCGTGGAATCAGACCACTGTCCAATTAGAATTGACCTCCACCCAAGAGGACGTGGTCCACTGGTCCCATTCAGATTTGATAAGAGATGGCGTGAGAGTGAGGAATGCTCCCAGATAATACAGAGAAGTTGTGATAGAGGGGGCCTGGTCCAAGATATTCTCGCTGACTGCCAGGAGGAACTGGAAGTTTGGGCCAGTAATGAAAGAAAGATTAAGCTTAAGAGGGAAAAGGAGATAAGGAAGAGATTACAAGTGCTACAAGGGACTAATCGAATTACAGATGTGGTTAATGAAGAGAGGGAGCTCCATCTTGAATTAGAGAAACACTGGACATCGGAGGAAAGCTTTTGGGCCCAGAGATCGAGAGTCTCGTGGCTTCAGGAGGGAGATCAGAACTCAGGCTTCTTCCACGCGAGCACAATATCAAGGAAGAACCGAAATCGCATTATGAAACTTAAATTGGAAGATGATACTTGGATCACGAATGCTACTGATTTGAGTAACCACGCAAAGGAGTTCTACTGCAGTCTTTTCACTAGCAGGAATGGTATACTTGATCCTAGCATTCTGGAAGGCTTCCCTTGTCTGGTTACTGAGGAGGCGAACAGAATGTTATGTGCGCCAGTTGAGAGAGAGGAGATTCGAAAAGCTGTTTTTCAATTGGGAGCTAACAAGGCCCCGGGACCAGATGGTTTCCCAGGGTTGTTTTTCAGGAAATACTGGCACATCTTGAGTGACAAGTTCTGCCATGAAGTCACCACTTTCTTCCTGACAGGTGTTTTGCCGGATAAATGGAACGAGACTTTCATTACTATCATCCCCAAAGTTGATGCTCCAGAAAGCATGGGTCAATTCCGACCAATCAGTTGTTGCAACTTTCGATACAAGGTTATCACAAAAATCATGACTAACAGACTGCAACCGTGATTGCCAGGTTTGGTGAATGAATTACAAGCAGCTTTCACAGGGGGAAGACAAATTCAGGACAACATCATTATTGTCCATGAAGTGCTCAACTACCTCAAGAAACTCAAAACTGGTAGCAAAAAACAGATGATGCTAAAGTTGGATATGAGAAAAGCCTATGATCTGGTTGAATGGGATCTGTTGATCAACCTCCTCCGAGCTTATGGATTTAATGAGTTGTGGTGTGGATGGATTCAGTCTTGTATCTCTACTGTCAGTTTCAAATTACTGTTCAATGGAGAGCCCTCGGCTGAGTTCAGACCTTCTCGAGGGATTCGACAGGGTGACCCCCTCTCCCCCCTGCTCTTCATCCTCCTCTCAAATGCCCTCTCCTTCCTTATTGAGAAAGCAGTCTACAAAAAAGATATCAAGGGTATCAAATTGAACCGACATTGTCCTACTCTCTCACATTGCCTTTTTGCAGATGACACGGTTATTTTTGGTGAAGCTTCTCCGGAAGAGGCAGGGAATATCTTGGATATTATCAACAATTATGGGGCAGTGACGGGACAGGAAGTCAACAAGGAAAAATCATCAATTTTCTTTAGCTCCAATTTTTCCACGGACGAACAGGGAACCATTATCCAGAGCTCGGGTTTCAATTCAAATACTAGTCATTCCACTTATCTCGGAGTTCCTACTCAATGGGGAAGATCAAAGAAAGAGACTTTCAACTTTCTTATTCAAAGAATGGAGAAGAAAGGGGAGGCATGGAAAAGCCTGCTTCTTTCCCCAGGTTGTAAGGAGGTCCTGCTGAAAGCTGTGTTTCAAGCTATTCCCTCCTATATTATATGCCTTTTCCTTCTCCCTAAAGCTACAACAAAGAAAATGGACTCGATGCTGAAAAGTTTCTTCTGGGGAGGGTCGATGAGCAAGAAGACTATCCATTGGAAGGCTGGACATGTTCTTTATGCCTCGAAAGAGGAAGGGGGACTGGGTTTCAGACCTTTTCACATTTTCAACTTGGCTCTGCTGGCAAAATAAGCCTGGAGGATACTGACTAACAAAGAAGCTTTGTGGGTTCGGGTCCTTAAGAGCATCTACTTCCCAAAAACAGACTTCCTGAATGCTAAGAAAGGAGGTAAAGCCTCATGGATCTGGTCTAGTCTGTGTGAAGCAAAGGTCTGGATGGGACAAGGAATTATCCGTGTGATTGGTAATGGCAGAAATACAAAGGTTTTCCATGACCCCTGGAGAAGAGACAGAGCAGGCCCCCTCCTTGATTTTGAATGGCCAGATCAGACTACAGCGGATAATTGGATTGATGACGTCTCTAGAGAATGGAAATCCGATGTGCTTGCCAATTTTCTCAGCCCCCAGGACTTAAAACAAGTGGCAGCTGTTCCCATCGGACCGGAGACGCTGGATGATTTCTGGGCTTGGCGGTTTACTGAACAGGGCAAGTTCAGTGTCAAGTCAGCCTATTATCACTTTCATAACCGTAGCAGATCTACTCAAGGAATTAGGCAAGAGGTCTCGGAGGCGGAAAAAGGAATGTGGAAGTGGCTGTGGAGCTTATCAATTCCTCCGAAACTGAATTTTTTTGTTTGGAGAGTTGCAAAGGGGGCTCTGGCATCAAGGGAAAACCTCTTCCGGCGAAGTTGCTCCCCTTCCAGGTCATG